CTTGAAAACAAGTATTCTTCAAATTTTCTGTTTGCTTGGTCTGAACTGATAATTTTTAAGATATTTGTAAACTGTGATGATTTCAAACTATTTTATGTAATCCATCATTATACATAATTTTGTAATTTATGGCGTTATATGCCAATTGATCACCTTATACTGGTATGCTTAATACAGTAATATATGGGTAGTTAAAATTGAAAGAACAGTAACCCAGATGTGTAAACTCTCTGGTTTCTTTGACGTTTTGTGTGTTGGAGAATCAACAAATAACTGATAATCTCCAGCCTGCTTGCATAGAATTACTCAGAGAATATTATAACTTGCAAAGAATTCAAAAATAGATTTTATTTTCTTGCATGCAGATGTAATGTATATCTCACCTCCAGAACTACATGTATCATTGGTTGGTGGGGGACTAGCCGATGGTGGTGGTGGCGGCGGTGAGGGGCATTCTCTGGGTATACTTGTATCTTGACTCGGAGGTTCGCACACTCGCATTTTAATAAGATTTGGATTTACTACAAAACAAAAAACATAGAATTTATAGAGGTTTGGGCTGAAATGAAAATTATATCTCATCGTCTTCACGCTTTCATTATCAGAATATTAAAATAAAAAAAAAAAAATGGACAATTTTCAACAATAGACTGAAATATCATGGAAAATTGACTATTTTTGTACTGGTTTCCATGGTGAAATTAATTCTTCATATTGTGAAATTTTGCTCTGTGACATGGGATGAACGAAGTCCTATATTGTTATCAATATAAATCCTAACACATTTCAAAAAATCAGCGTTTAATTTAGCGAGTTTTGAGTGTGACAACAGTTGCCAGTTGGCCAATGGGAAATTTTCGTTCCTTCACATACTGCATTACACATAAACGTCCAGTTAAATGCTGAGTAGGAACAAATTTTAAATTGATACAAACTCCTGTATCTATGTACCAGTTTCACAATTACATTTAGGTGAAAGTTCTGGTTAGCTATGCTTATCAGTGGCCAGAAAATAAAATAACTGACAAGATGGCTGTTCTTGGAGTGTGTGGCTATTTCTGCCCTATTCAAACACATTACTGGCATAATTAGTGTACCAGAGGAAAGCCTGAAAACCTTTCCAATGTCAAGCATGTTGTCTAAATTATATTATTGGCTGTTAGTTTGTTGATAAAGGGCACAATAAATGCTATTTTTTTGTGATCAGTGTGTTCTTCTTCATAGTTAATTTTTATCTAGTACAATCCAGTGCAGTAATCCTTAAGAAACACATGAAATTAGAAAGCACTGTCGCCGAAGACAGAATTAATAATTTGTACATTACAAGTATCTCCAAAACTTGCAGTGATGGACACACTATTATGTCTTCTCGTATCCTACTTTTGGTATTTACTTACTCAATTCTTGAGGTTTGAAAACTTCATTTTTAAGTCCTGGGAGGAAGCAGTCTATTCTCTCCCAAGTCACCTCCCAGAGAGCTGAATGATCTTCCTCAACGCCATCAATGTTTTGGAACACCCCAGCGGTATCCATGACAAGTAACATATTCTTAAGAGATTCAGGAATAGCCTCTGACTGTGGACGGATAAAGATCATACAAGCAATTAACACAGAAAATGATAGGTCATCAAATCCATTTCAAAGGTAGTTATTAATTACAAGAAGTCTACATGTTTAAGTAATTAGCATTGTTATAAAGTTGAGATATGTACACAGGGTTTAATCGATGTTGCGATTTCTAAATTTAGAGACATCTCTGGTAAAAAAAAAAAAATATAATTTCACACCTCATACCATGTTAAAGATAAAACAAACTCCTGCACCATACTAGTCTACCAAAATAAAATTCTGCTCCTGAACTGAATATACTATAATAATATTTCATAATATGTTTTTCGACTCAGCTTGGAAAAATATGAGTGCCGTTAGAGATAATACGTCAAAAGATAATCAACAATATGGCTGTTTAGTCACTAGTTGCCTCAGCTGAATCCAGAGAATAGGCAATTATATCAGAAAATGTAAATAGCGTATTTCTAGTGAAAGAAGTACGAATACTTACCAGTAAGTCACTTTTATCTTTGTGCATATATTTATCCATAAAATCTAAAATAGTTAGCCATAATGCTGTAAATGTTGGTAGCGATAACAATGGTGTTAAATGCTGTAAGAATACCTACGAGAAAAATACGTCTGTCAGAAAGAAATCTTTCAT